TGTCAACGGCCAAAATACAGAATAAAATTGGGGTAAACGCATTCCTTCAGCCTTTTGGAAAATGTTTAGTTTCCAAAAGTAAAGCATATACTGAAGATGATATTGCTCTAGATGCATACGGAGACAGATGCATCTTTCGCTATACATTTGCAATCCTTCTGATCAGAGATTACAAACAAATTATATTTAGCCTCTGACTGCAGGCGATATTGCAGCCCTGTGGTTAAAGGTTCCATTTTGTCATGCAGTTGCTTACCTGTGTATCAATTTATCATAAACCTGGGCTCCTCAGTCTCAGTGTCTGCGCTTGCGGTTGTTAGAATATATCCTTCACCCTTTGTCTGCAGACAATACTGTCCTAAACCTGATCTTGCGGTTTTACAGACATTTCCATACACCAGTATTCCCGATAGAACGAAAGCAGGCTCAGGCTCAACTACCAATAAAAGAGGGCGAGTGCAATTCGGAATTTGTTGGGGTTAAAAAAAAAAAAAACCACAACCCTTTGCAATCAACCTCAGGGAATCAAAGGCAGCAATTGGCCGGCTCTTGTTTTGTTTTGTTTTTAAATCGTGCGGCCATTTATGAATTTTGGGGAAGAGCAACACAAACCCCTTTATAATCAGAAATATAGGCGCTGCCTTCAAACACAAGCATATTTGTTCACGTGATCCCCAGAGTAGATTGTTCTGATTGAGGCTGGAACTTCCACAATGTCCGTCCTCTCCGAGCCCCCCAGAACAGACATGTCTGGGGTGTTACGCGGGGCTCCAGAGGCGCCCAGCCACCTCCTGCAGGAGCATTGCAACAGTCCACTGCAAAAATGTCTTCACACTCCACTAAACCTGGCGTTAGATTATTGTTTTAGGCATCGAATGGCCAAATTCCCTTTCAGATCTATTACAAATCCCGCTGGTTAAATTGATCTCTTTGGCCAAGTACTATCAGGACCTTCTCTTCCTAGGTAAATTGTGCGTTCCTAGCTCTCCTGGACAAATTAAACTCCCACAGCAATCTTCCATGGAAGCACCCCGCAATTCGTGAGCACTCCGTAATTTCTATGGCATTAATCTTTTCCCGTGTGGGTAAAACAAATACAGAGGGCATTAATCCGACTAGCAGCCTCTTCAGCCATTGCTGATCAAATAAATTAATAATTCAGAAATTTGTGACAGAAGAAGAAAATAAATTTGGATTTAAGGTAACTGAAAGGAACAGGCATAGATACAAACTCTGCAGCACAAACGTGCAATGAAAGGTCACTGAAACGTACTGGGTTTTACTAATATGCTCTCTTTTTCCTCCCCCTTCTTTTCTGTAGAGGAGAAACTTAAGTAAACTCGTTTTTCCCCGAAGCTGGAGACTGAAGAAGCTTAGAAAAATCATATTACATTTCTGCGTGTGGACTGAGCCTTATTTCTTTCTGTGTCGTACATACCCATGTCTGTAGCCAGAACAAAAGCGACATGTATATGTCCAAAGGATGTACACAAAGAATCTGAACATGTAAAATTCGGCAAAAATGTATACTCGCTCTTTGTTTGATTTTCTAAGCTATAACAGCGCCACACCTAATCTAGCATCTGCTAAAATTTCATTACCACCCAAAGCATGGCGACCTGACAGTAACGTATTACCTTACAATCCTATCCATAAGTGTATTGTAACATTTATCTAAATTACATTGCTTTCCCTGACTTTCCAAACCAGTCATAAAAAGATTGGAGTCCAGTTAGCCAAGCATAAATTCCGTGTAAATGATGGTGTACCACTCCGGATTTATAATCATATATTTCCTGGAAATGGTGCCTTTAAATCCTGCCTCGAATACAAGGTAATTGTTCTTTACATCCTTTCCCGTCAGCCATGCATTTTACATCAGTGTACCTAGCTAGGGGTCTGTCTGGATTTATATAGAGGTAGACAGATGCATGTATCCAGCGCAGGAAATAATTCTACAGAGTATTTAGACATTTTCGGATGACGAAAATATCCTTCGCTCCTTCCATAAAAGCGCTCCATCGACCACGCAAGGATCAAGAGGAGGGGAAAAAAATCCCCTTTTTGTGAGTAATTTGGAAAAAGGTACCCACCACCGAAGGAGTTGTTTGAGTTGCATGGCAAAAAAACCCCCAAACCCAACCACCAAAAGCAGCAGCAAAAATTAAGCCGTTGCAAAAGGACTGGAAAAGCATTAAGGAAGTGTTAATCCCCAGCGATAGCAGGATTCCAGCTTTGCGTGAATTTGTCTCCAGTAAAGGATCTAAGACTTCTTCAATCGGAGCATATGTTCATAGAGCAATAAAACAGAAAGATTTACAGTCTTCGCCCGCCCCCAGCAGCCTCGCACCCTTTCAGGAATTACTTACGATGATTTATAACAACAACTCCGGCAATTGTCAAACTGATAAAATATCCCGGGCTATATGCAGGAATAAACGTTATTATTAAAGTGTTTCAATTTATGTTCGGGTCCATTTTACTGCGTGGCATCGTGGAGTTTGGGCTCTTTCCGGACAAACAGAATAATATAAACCTCATTGATAAAAATGTAGGAGTTCTCATGAAGTAGCAAATCTGTTTCTTAGTCACTACCAAAGCACATAAACATTTGTCATCTTTGAATAATTGAATTAATGTGTTATTGTTTTAATGTATAATTCATAACATAGGAAACTTTGTCTCTGTCCTGCCACAAAACGGAAGTAATAAAAGCTACAATCTGGGTTTTTAAGAAATTACTCCAGCAAGGGATAATAAAGAATATCCTGTTTGCAGAAAGGATTTCCAACTGACTGGGGAATTTCACGGAGGAATCTCAGCCTTGAGGTCCAAATCGTATTGGTTGGGAGGAAAACGATTTCTAGATCAAAACTGTAGCCTGGCCATGTCCCTCTCAGTTTGGACTCTTGGAAGTGGGGAGAGTGCAGGACTGCAGGGGGAGGCAGAGCTGACACGGGGGCTTCCCCCTCGGAGCGCCCCTCCACACTGCTCCCCGCGCCAGGGGCACAGGCAAGGCGAGCGCGACCGGTCCCAAACGGGGGGCAGGTCTGGCAAAAATAAATAAATAAGTGAATAAAAATAAAATCCCCCCTTCCCTTTGTGTCCCGGTGGCGGGGAGGTCTGGTGTGGGGAGAGAGCCTCTGAATTCATTATCTCCTGGCTAAAGCCTGCCTTGGGTAAAATTTCAACTCAGTTTTATAGCCTTCTATTATGACGCAAAGAAAAATTTACGACCCTTGTTTGAAAAGAAGTTCAGGGCCTTTTCTCACCATTTTAAGAATGGGCAGCAGATGCCCTGACAGCCAGTATTGTTCCCAGTTAGACACTAGCAACCAGTAAATCTTCTCCCATTTCACTACACATCTCAGCTTCTCCCCTCTCTCCAGAGTACGACCAGGCACACACAGGGATCCTTTTTTGCCGAAGATCACAATTTTTCATATAGTGTAAACTGTTCTCTGAATCAAAGGTCACTACATCAGCCCAGACCAACTTCGGGCTCTTCCTGGTTCCAAATCAGGAAGCCCGGGGTCCTATTTGTCAAGCATTTGACAGCTAAGTTCATTAAGGATTTAAATATGAAGGAATAAAAGTAAAATGTTTACATACCAGGCTTCTCTTTTTCGGCTGCTACCAAAGAGCTAGGTGTGGAGAGAAAGGGACTGCACCCTTTGTATATTATATTCTTGGGATCTCTTCAGTTTTCAAGTCTGATAGAGTCCTTTGCTTGGCAGATTAATGACGACTCCGTGTTTCTTAAGGGACGTGCTGAATTAATTATTTCGCAAATCACGTGGTCAGGACTTGTAGAAATCTATTCTTATCATCTTCCTTGCACTTTGAAATTCGGCCTCTTATGACTGTGCCTTGCAAGATTATTTTGGTCTATAGGCTTACAAAAAACAGGGGGAAAGGCTAACAAACATGGCCGTTGGAAGCTGTGTGGCTGTGCATTGAAAGGTCCCTATTTACTGTACTGTACAGTGAGTGGTGTTTGCTATTGACTCTGCCTTTCCTCCTCATTCTTACCTTAACGACTAGCGGTGATATAATATACAGAATTGTATTGATGTATTGGTAATAACAGGAGGAGCCATTAAGCAGAAGACACTGCAAGTATAATCACAAAATGTGCCTGAATATTTAAACTCAATGCCTGGGTACTTGTCAACACACACGCACGCACGCAGAGCTCTGCACAAGCTCTCCATGGGTGAAGGGCGCACGCCTGATTTGGGGGCATTATTCTGATTTCGCAGGCGGTCTATTTTTGCTCTCATGCCTTGGCCACCCTTCAAGAAAAGACAAGTCATATATGACAAATATCTGTGATAACAATAAAGCGATGGACCCCTTGTAGCAAGAAGGGTTTGTTGTCATCTGAGTTATTCATGTCTAAGAGGAAAGAGGGGCTTATATCTAAGAGGAAAGGGGGCTGCAAAAAAGTTCAAAATGCGAAGTTTCACCTTTATTTGGGTTTCTCAACTCAGCGGAATGGATAAACCCACTGCTTATAAGCAGCTTCTCCGTGTAAAAAAAATCAAAATGAATCTCTTTCATTGCCCACTTCAAATATTCATCCCATTTGTGGAGGAGTCGAGGTACTTCCAGGTGTGGATTCTTCATATTTACGCTCATGAATTAATCCATGAACCATCTTAATGCTTTGTTAAATAGAAAACATTAACAAATGGATCATGGGCATTTTAACTGCAGCCTCAATGTAAATATAGACTTCAGTTTGCCCCAGAGTAACACCAGTCTAGTTAACTTAATCAGCAAAACTGTTCAAAGGGACATTTGGGTGTAGACTTTGGGACTGTAGACAAACATCCATGTTTTAACAGCATAATGAAAGGAAGGATATGTATGTTTATGGAAAGGAGATCCATCTCATAAGGACTACTTGTTCAAGGTACAAACCAGAATTTGTTTCTCTACACCTTTTTTTATTTCAAATATATGTGGAGGACTTACATCAAAACTACAGGCGACAGTTAGTATAAATAATACTTTAATCAGTGGCAGCAAAAACATTGGTAAAGTCTATAAAAAGCATCACACGTTAACAGATATCATAGTATTGTTGGACAATGCGATCTTATAACAAAAGGCTGCAATACACAACATTTTATCCATGGTAAACAAAAAAAACAACATCTTTCTTTCTTCAGCTACATGAAATAACCTCTCCTGAGAGTTCAGAATACTTCGGGCTCATATTAAATGGGGACAAATGAGAGAGAATAGCAAATTGGCGTGTTTATTTCTTATTACCCAGGCATTCACATCCTGAAGCTTCAGAAGGGTGGCAGATGTGAACTATTTAGTTGGGGAGTTTTGCGGCTTTTCAGAGCCTACTGATGTAACTGGAATCAGGCAAACTCACATCAGCCCCAGCCCTGCTCAGAGGGACTTGCAAACAGGGTTTTACCCGCTGTCTGAACCAAACACTCTCCCAGACGGTATTAACATTTCAAAAGACAATGGGCCAAATTTTGCTCGCACATGGACCCTGGTTTGCCTTCAGTCCCTTCAGCTGGCTGCAGTAGGGTGCTGTGCCTGGGAGCAGAGTGTGGCCTTCTCCCTGGCGCGCAGTCGTAACCACACAGCCCCTTTGATTCAGTGGCTGCCGAGAAAACCACACTGAACAAAGCCCAACACGTTGGCTTTCCCCCCAAAATAACACGTTTGCATGGTTCACAATTAGCTCAGCACAGACTTTAGGTAAACAATGGCGAGGCTTACTTTAAATCAGGCTCACCAGAGTGCCTTCCTCCCACCCCTCTCAGATCACTGCTGACAGAAAATACATGACTTTTGACAACTGGGGAGATTTAAGGCCGATACCCAAACAGTTAGGTACAGCAACTTTGCAACTTGTCTGAGGAATGCCCTTCCCAAAGGCTGCCTTCTAGCTGCTCTCCATGCTAGAGAAAAGGAAGAGGAGTGCGGGTCCAAGAGGTTAAGGGTTTAGAGGTCACTCTGCCCGGCTGAAATACAGCTAATCGAATAGAAAATTTGTCCTCTGGATGAACCTGTTTCTGCAATTTAGCCGAACTTCAGTAAAATACCTTTTCAGCTTCTCAACGTGAAGGCGTCAGAGAAAAAGACGTCTTTACTATGTATGAACTCGGGGCTTTTTGTCATAGAAACAATGATGCGAATAATGCAGGAATATCCATCTTTAATATCACGACGTGGAGATATTCAAGTATTGCCATGTGCAGGTCTGAGAACCAGGCTAACCCTTAGGAAGAACAAAGAGTTGTCTCCAGGATCTAAAACAAAAGATCAAGTCTTGGAAGACACTTTACAGAGTTAGGGACGAGGAAAGGGCAGAAAATCATCGTTGAGCACAGTTCATTTTGCCAATTACATTCATTCGGAAGCCCCTGGGTTTTTTTATTTCCAACCTACTAAAATCCATTTCCCCTCGTGTTGTTTCGAGTAAAAAGTTCAGGTGCCAAAGTGCTGCCAACGGAAGCCAATTTGACTAGATACTTGCACTTTTAAGATCTCAGTCATTGTGATTTCGGATTTTCTTTGATAGGAGGAAGGCAGTGTCTACTTAAAATATCTAGACACAGGCTATTCCCTTTCCTTAAGAGTTCAGGGCTGATCTGTAAATCCCTCCAAGCCAAGGTTTATCCGAGGAGGGCAGCTGATTTAGCCCAGCTTGTGAGCATTTTAGCCGAGATACAAAGAAGGCCGTTTCCATTCAAACTTTTACATGGCCTCCACGTCCAAATCAAAGCCCAATGGACCTGCTCAGCTTTTATTACAATGGTTCGTTTTCCCTTAATACTAACTTCTAGTGATGCCTAATTCAAGTTTGATTGCTTCAAAACAGTTACCATCTTCTCAACGAAGTGTACGCCACCTCTCTTTAAAATGGGACTCTCATTATAGATATAAAACAAAAAAAATGCCACCTATTTGGAAAGCAGAATGGCTTAGATGACACCCCTCGGACGCTTTGATCTACACTCTGAGAATACTTTTTTTAGTTTTTATTCTTCTTGTTATTCTTTTTTGTTACCAAAGGCTGATTAAAGGAGAGAGCCGAATAAAGCAAACACGTAAAATACCTTTTACAGAATGTGACTTTTTTTTAGGGTAGGAAACGATTTCGTATTTACAGAGAAGGAAGGAAACCAGAAAAAGAGGCGAAAAGTTCTGTCTGATCAAGATAACTGAGCATTATATGTATGTTCATGGGACTTGGGAGGAGAAACCCTGGCTTTCTCCTCTTTTTGGTTTGATTATTTTCCTTTGCTTCCTATCTTTATTCTTCTAATTCGTAAATAAATAAATAGGCAAATACAAACAGAAAACATAAAATAACCCGTTTTCACTCCATTCTTATGCCCTTGTTCTGAGATGTTATGGAAATGAGCAAGAATTTTCATTACACCAAGAAATGTAAAGCAGCACAAAAAAAGTTCACAAATACTACTCTTCAGAGTTGAAATAAAAGATTAGTCAGAGATTTCTGTCCTGAACTTGCCCAGATGCCTCATCTCGAAATGCATGGGAGGGAAAGACAACCCGAACAAAAGAGAGCCGAATAAAGCATCAAACCTTCATTTTCAAATTCAAAACTGAACACAGGACACTTTCATTTTCAAGATTTATTACTTTTTATGGACAGAGGATCTCGCTTACTGTCCTCACACTTTCCACTACCTGTCTGAAGAGTTTTTAGGTTGTGCTAATATAGGTAATTCAAATAAAGTCCAGCGTAAGGTCATTTCGCCTCCCTTGTACAACAGTACCTTAAAGCAGGATGACAGTCTGGAGTCTTTAGCTGCTACATGCAGGTTCTGCTGGGGTAATGTCAGTTATGTACAGGACTGTTCAGATTCTAAGGATGAAATGGAAAATTTCACCTCTTCTATAAAGTTGTCAAGTCAGTCTGATGGTCCTTGGGAACAGTCTGTAAATGTTGGTTTGAACCAGCTGAAGAAGACCTGCCCTTAGTGTTGGGCAGTTTGTGATCTTTTTTCCACTTCATTCTTCTGTTCTGAAACCAGATCTTGATCTGGCGTTCAGAGAGACACAAAGTGTGGGCTATCTCAATACGGCGGCGCCTAGTCAGATACCTGTTAAAATGAAATTCTTTTTCCAGTTCTAGGACTTGCTGCCTTGTGTAGGCTGTTCTGGAGCGCTTAGGTTCCCCTCCGTTGTAATTGGGATTCACTGAGGAAAAAATACGTATAACTTTAAACATCTAATCTCCGCTTCCCAGTTCGACTTTACAGAGCATACCTTACAAGCTGTAAGCATGTGGCTGGCAGGGAGCATCCCAGCTGCTTACAGAACAGGGGCATCTTTTTTAAAGCTAGCTAGGTCCTCTGAAAGCCTCTACTCTGCTCCTAAGATGGAGTTTTCCCCTACACAGAGAAGAGCCACATGGCCAACGGCCTATTTCCTCCGCAATAAAAATTTATGACGAGTCTAATTGGCTAGCTCAGTCTAAAACCCTCGCCCATTAGTCTTGCAAGGACTTTAAGAAGCCTCTACGCAGGATTATCTGAACCAGGGGAGAAGAGCAAAGTAAGAAGAGGAGCCTTACCCGAGTTAACATGGACTTTCTTCATCCAGGGATAAACTACTGCTGGCTGCTTAATTGCTGACCCGTTGGGGGTTTTGAGGTTTTGCTGCTGGCTGCAGGCTCGGGAGTTGGCCATTGGAGGCGGTGGACAATGCTCTGCTTGACCGGGGAAGTGGCTCGGTGGGCCGGATTGCTCCTGTCCATGACCCCGCGGCTGCACTGCAGAGCCTTGGGCATTGCTACAGCTAAAGGGCTGCTCGCTGTAGTTTGACCGTGGATAGATTCCCTGATGCTGAAAATCCGAGCCCTGCGATGCACTGTAATAGTCTGAGCCCTGCTCGGCTAGGTAGCTATTCTGTAAATATTCCTCGCAAGGAGGAAATTTGGGATCCACATACTTAGAGTTCACCATATACGAACTCATGGCCATTAATTTCTGAAGGTAGAAAATACTAATTTTTCTCGTGTTGTCTTTTTTTCTCCCTCCATAGAGCCCTCCTACTTGCTGTCAACTGAATAAAGTTAGGCGTCCATGTGACTGGCTCAGCCAATAGGAAGGCAGCGAGTTTATCACCGGATTTGTGTGCATCTCATAATTTCCACAAATTTAACTAAATAATATATGTGTAATCAAGTGACCCGAATTCGATACATTTTATCTTCAAAAACAGATATTAATGTATAAAGAATATTCATCAAACGATGACAGCCTCTCTGACCCTCAGGTAAATCAAGCCTTTTGTCTGAACTGACTTTTCTAACCTCTGATGCCCTTTCGTCTAATTCACCAGCAATAATTTCTATCATGGGTTATATTTGTTAAATAAAATATCGCAAGGAAGGAAGAGCCAGAGGCTGGAATAGGATTCAGAGGCAGAATATTGATAAGGAGAGGAGAAAAAGAAAAGACATCAAAGAAGAAGCTAATATGATGTACAATAGCTCTGTCCTGTCTTTGTCTTGCAGAGGTCATCCAAAAGTTACCAGAATCTAGTTCTGCTGAATAAAATTAGGCAATCAGTAACTTCTGGTTCACTTTGCGAGTCTCTCTCTCGCTATGTATCTGCATATAATAAAGCATATAACCAGGAAACCTTCATTTTTAACTACTGAAGTGCAATCAATTGCATTGGAGATGGCATTTAACTATTATGTGAAAAAATAATCACAGATGTAATTAGATAAATGCAGTGTTAATCCATCAACAGCATTCTTGGAGTACAAGTAAATACATTCCAGTGACTCGAATGCTGCTTTTGCTATTGTCCTAAATATTTTGATGAGATCTGGGCACTTGATAGGAAAATTTTGCTATCATCTGGCATATCTAGCTAACTCTTTACGTGCAAAAGTTATCTTTTTAAAAAGTCATTAGTTAGTTGGCACATTTTTCAAAAAGAAATTGTACTGATCATGTTTAAATGAACAGATTACAAGTGAGATTTCCGATTGAACAACAAAATAAACGTTAAGAATTGTTCTGATGTGCAGTAAATATGGTAGAGGCAGAAAAACTTTTAGAATTCCCCAATATTCAGCACGCACATGTCTTTTGATACCTTCAAATTTTTAACTTCTAACCATTTGCAGAAAGGTGAAGTTTTTGCATCGACCATATATTCCCCTAGAATCGAATCTGTGACTATGTGAATACCACACAAATTCGGTTCTACAGGGTATATATAGACAACGTAATAACATTCTGTTTTCATCTACAATATCATAGTCGGGATCATTGCAATTTTCTGATTCTTTACTGTCTTCTGAGGAATACAAACTATTCTGTAGTGATAAAGTTCTGAAACGTGGATTGGAAGAAGGGTAAGATTTCCGAAAAGATTCAGTTAGGTCCTTCAGGATGGAACAGATCTTTATGAGTCTGAACAAATTTGTACCACGAATTGCAACTAACATTATTGCAAATGCTCCCTAAGATTTGATGATCACTTTAGATGCTCTGCCATTTAAATCGCTACTAAAGCCAATGGACGTTACCAATCAAAATAAACTGCTTTTTACATTAAAATTAAATGCAATCAGGGTTTTTCTATTTTGGCTAATCTAGATGAGATTTCACCTAATTAGTTTTTTAAAAAAAAATCGAAGCAGAAAGACAAGAGCAGGAAACAAAAGGCAGCAATATGCAAACAGGATTTTACAAAGGAAAAAAAAGTTAGTTGTTAGGGGAAAATAATTTCCAAATTTACCTTCATCACATTATGCTGCTCTAGTTACTTATTCCTGAGAGCTGAGTGGGAGCCTATCAGCAAAACTCTCTGCTTAGCACTCTCCTCAGGTTTTCGTGCGGTAGCGTTTATGGTGAAGGGCAGGGCGAGAGGTCATTCGAAATCATTTACAAACATATCACAAAGTTTCATTATTTTTACTTTGTCGACAGCAGCACACAGGAGTACAAAAGTTCATGAATTGTGTCTGACCCAGCTCCTCCGTGCTGTCCTGTGGCCAACCTCTTCTTGCACTACGTAAAACAAGGAGCCTAAGGACAACTAATAGTGTGTGCGCGCGGGGGTCCGCCGAGATGCACTAGTTAGTGCTTATTTCGGGATAGTAGGTTTATCTGATGGAAGCTGGGTGGCTGGCTGGCTTTGCTACAGCTCACGTCTGTCTACTTTCGCTGTATTGAGGGAAGATATTTTTAAGCATCTGCTTTCTCATTATGGCTGTGAGGACCGCTTCTTAGCAAGTGCCGCTCAAAACGATTTTCTGGCCCAAATGTGGATTTCCGGATTGTTTAAGCTCGCATCCAGCTCTTTTCATAGATCCTCTTTGCTTTCTCTGTTTGATGCAGAGCATTTAGCTGCGACGTGCTCGGTAATTAAACGTGCTCCACAAGCCCACACCAGAAAAACCCGGTTCGCAGTGCAGCAGCCCCGCCAGATTCCGAGAATCCGGGCAGTGGTGAACAGAAGGGATCGATAGGGCTGAGAAAGCACCTCTATATTCCGTTTAATAGCTCACATTTTCATATTTGTTAGACGCTGTGACCTGCGTTTCACCTTATTGCACGACTTGCTCAGACAGGTCAAAGCCAAAGAGTTATTGATGAACAAAAGCGTTAAATATTCACCTCCTGTTCAACTGCCCATACAAGTGCTTTTGATCTATCAGCCTTTTTGTATTCTGGTTCATAATCAGTATGCTAAATGTAGGTTTGTAAAAAGAAAGTAATCCATAGATTTAGGGCCGACCACAGAATATGGCCAGGCTATCCATGCAACTCAGGACAGATCTAGGGAAGAAGAAAAGTTACCTATGGAAGAGAATTTTAAAGCCTACAGGACTGGCAGTTGTTTAGTTCCCTCAGGGAGAACTCGGAAAATAATGTGGCAACGTAAAATCAGAATCGGAACCGTCAGCCTACTCCAAAGCAGCAAAAGACCTTGTTTATCAGTATGCAGGAAAAAGAAGCACAGAGAAAACAGACATGAGAGCACAGTGCCCCCCCCCCCCGAACATTATCACGGTCAGATCATGGTTTGCACAGTGGGCAGAAAATGTATATGTAATGAATCTTAACAATCTGAAGGTTTCTTCTCCATTAAAAAACAGGTCAATCTTATTCTTAAGGCGGAGGCTTAAAATGCATCGAGTTCCCCTATTCTTCAATTTTTCCACGCATAAAGCTGCAGTAAAGAACGCTTTCTGCTCTATATCGAACAATGGTCTTTGTCACAATGTTTTCCCTTTAAATATTCGTCTTGTTGCAATTAATTGTAGATAATGAAAGACAAGAAAAATCAATAAAATGGAAGGTCCTCCTCCTAAACTCACAGAGTAAGACTACTCAGTGCCTTCACGTAATTTAAATAAACGTTTTACCCTCGCTAGCTCAGAAAGACTTAATTGACCCAGAGGAGCTGTATTGCTGCTGGGAAAACACCCAGGAGCGCGAGGCTAACAACTTGAATCACCCATGCTACCGACATACAAACACCACGATGCCCTTCATTCGTGGTGCCAGACCAAACGAGTTTCAACCTGGATAACAAACGCAACTCTATTTTAAATCCTTTCTGGGGGGGGAAAAAGAGGAGGAGTAGCCAGGAGTATGAAGCACTGTGATATAACCTGATAAATTCAGTGTTTGCACAGGGAGGCGCTGTATAGCCCTGGCGTGATAAAACTGTAATACTGCTAATTAGTTTATAGTACCTAAGAGCAGGATAACATGACACCTAGCACCTGTGCAGCACTGATATTATCCCTAAAGAAACTCTACTTTTAAATTATCTGAAAGTACACAAGTGCATAAAGACAGGCTTAAAAACACTGGAGCCCCAAGAGTCTTTAAATACAAATAAAAACAACCTTACTGTCATGTAAAAATGACCTGGTTTCCAGCTAAAGGCAAAGAAATAATGTCTTCAAAGAATATCAATTATACAAGAAATTAGAAGTTACTTACTGTAGCCGTCTTTCCATTGTGTCAAACCTGTTGCAACAAAAACGTTTGTTATTGTTATATTTCATATGAGTAATATTCATTTCAAATAAGTATAGCAACATAAGGAGTACGAGCATGCATACATACAGAAAAGGTGAGGGTAATTCTTCCAATACGGTGCTGAAAGAAGCTTCTCTTTGAATTAAACACAGATTGCGTTCACTAAGATTTGTATGAACACACTCCCTCCCCCCCCATGACTGACGTATGTTCTTTCACTTTGACAATTTCGGTCATACATTTATTAAGTATTGGGGGGGGGGGGGAAGAAAGGCAAACCCACTGCTTCCACCACTGAAAAAAAGAATAACAAAGGCCTTTTTTCTTTACTAATTCACTACACTCCCATACAGACGAAATATTCGGATCTACCTTTGCTAAATCATATCCTATCAATAGTGACACATGTCATGCAGCACCATATCGATTCTGAGAATAGAAAGAACTATAATTCCATATTAATACGTCTCCGAGTTCCCTATTATTGATATCCTTTAAGATCACCTATTATCCAAACATAAGCAGGAGTCATGTGTGCCTTTGTCTGCATCATAAGAGTGTACATTTCCATTAAATTTACCTTCAAATTTCCTGTCTAAATTCAATAAATATACAAGTTAAAACAAAAGGAATAAACATTCAGATGCTTGTTAAAATATTTCATATCTCTAAGGAGCACATGCCATAGTGTCCTGGCCAATTGTTGTATCATCATACAAAGAAACTGACCTTGTAATACTAGTGCACTATATAAAGCCTCCCAGCCCGTTTTTTTCCCCTCCAGCTTTTCTGCACTATTCACTTCCCCTTAGAACTTGCCAAGGATACTGAAATCCCAACAGTTAAACAGCAAGTAATGCTTTACCGGCTAAAAACAGGGTTAATTTGAGAACAAGATGCTCCCCTCTCATCCGAAAGCTCAAACCTGAAAAAAGCAAGCCAATCTCAGCCATTATTACCTAATCGTAGTTATTTGAATTGTACCTGCTCATTTTGAAAATAAACCTGCTTCCAGTCTATATAACATTGCAGGGGTAGGCTACATTTGAATACCATTCATATACGGTTCAAGGAGGCACAAAGACTTCGGAGCAACCGATCACGTTTGTGATGGTATAAAGAGTAATAACGGACTTACTGTGTGCTTTCCCCATGGAAGGGGGAACTGAGAGCAGAAATATCTCCATGGTCGGATTCAGGCAGAATGTTCCTTGCTAACACTTTCCCTATTACTGCTTCCAGGAACTAAAGCATCTGCACTTCTATGCTCTTAAACTAATTTATGGTGGGAATTATATTTTGGCTTGTCAACTCTCAAGCCATAAAACAAAGTTTATTGGAATCACGTGTTTCTAAATAGCCACTCAGGACCTATCTCTGTGGAACCATAAATAACCTTCAGCTTTAAACTTTTATTCACTAAATAAAGGTTCGCTGAATGTGTTCTATAAAATTTAAATAGTTCAAAATATCAGGGATGGACGCAGCTCGCTGTAGTACCAATATCCTGGCCTTTTAAAATAGTGTATTGTAAAGAACCCTACTTAAAGTGGAGTTAGCCTCCAAATTGCTAATGGGAAAAGGAGCGTGTGCATTTCGCTGTGAGTACCAATTCCAACCTTTATTTGAGCATGCATGTAGCTGGCAGGGATGGGGAAACAAATGGCGAGGCGAAAAGAAGAGAGGGTCTTCATTAAGGGGCTTTTCCCCCCTTGTCTGAAAGTTTATGGCACTTTGGTCGAACGCCCTTAGAAAGTAGCCTGGGCTACCCTAACCCACCTCGGGACTCCTGCTCAGTCCAGTCGAGCCACAAGGCTGTGATCTCCCCGAACACATGCCCGGGGCTTCTGGGGGATGCTTGCCTATAGGGCGCTCGCAAGTGACCAAACTGCTGCAAACAGCAAGGCACTGCTCCTTCTAAAGTGAGAAAACTGGTCATCCTGACCAAAGGAGATCTTTGATAACTGAAGCTTTAAGGAGGGCTATAAAACAATAAAACAGCTCTGGTGTGAAGGGAGCAGGGCAGGCCCTACGAGGAGAGGCTACAGGACCTGAACCTGT